AACATATTTCTGCACGAGTTTCATTTATTTATCAATAACTTCCTCATGGTCTTTCTTAGCCTGGGTAGTAGAAACCTTCGCCGTCTTTAACAGTGGGCGCTGTAGGCAAGCTGCCGCAGAAATTGTTCAACTCAGCATCGCAAGGTTCAACCTTCACTTCCACAAAATCAGGATCCTCGGTCGCTGGAGGCTCGTCCGGGGCCAGCCGGCGGCGACTAGCGTCCAGATTGTCGCAGGCTACAGCACCAATCAACGCGACCAGGACTAAAAGCTTTACGAGTGCCATATTGCTGTCTGAAAATAGAATCTTTTTATCAACTAGCTGTTGCTCGCGACTTCGTCCACGTGAAATTTAAAATCGCCTATGTTAATAGTGATAACATAGCTTTTTAATGGTGAAAGAATTTTTAAAATCGGCCCAATAGTTAGTTTTTTTACGTGAATCGAATACATACAAAAATCCAAAAATACAAATCTTTCCTTTTTATTATATTATAAAGCATAGACAATCAAAATATATAGAAATATATTGCTTATAAGTATTGAAATAATATATTTTTTTACTTACTCGTTCAGACCGTTTCTGGAAGACGAATGGATAATACGATTTTTTTTCGTTATTTATAATGTTACAATTAAATTGATTCGTACCAAAAAAATAATTGAAAATTAGTTTTGCGACGCTAACAATAAAAATACAATTATTTGAATGTCATAAAAAATTTATTATTTTTTATTTAAATAACTTATAGTTTTCTTGGATGAAATACGTCAACATACAAAATTAATAAATACGCCAAATTCCAATACATAAAACAAAAACAGGACCGAATTAAAAAAAAAACATTTTGAATTTCGAATAATAACATTCTTTATTTAAATATTTTTAACAGATTATGGGCCTGTCCATCACATATTTTAGACGTTGTATAGTTATCAGATAATTTACAATAGCATAGATTATAATTGCTTTTACGCTTTTTATGTAAGGCAAATACTACCCTGGAAACGGGAACCAATAATCCCTTCTCTGTGTTACAGGGATACTGCCGCAGTAATCATTGGTCTGATCGCAATGAATTCTCCTTACTTCCGGTTCATCTTTGAGCTTGGGCAAAGGAATCCGTCTGTATCCATGCCATCCTGATACTATTACCAACAAAATTATCATTATAAAAAGTTGTTTAAACGCCATTTTGAATCTGAAAAATAATTATTTAACTATAAAGTTTTCCATCTTAGTAATAAATGCGAAAGTTCAGATGGATGGATATCGACTATGCCGCCTAAACTGCTGAACGAATCTCGATTTTTAGCATATAGAGCTGGTAGAACACGTAGGCTACTTTTTCTTTTTTTTTAATACCAGGCAAACTCAGATTTGATTGTTTTGAAGAGACCTCTAATAGATATAAAATATTTAACACGTAAATTTTACGTTTTATTTAAAACATAAGGTGGCAAACGAGCAAGCGGCCACTAGAATCCGCCAAAATGGCGAGGCGTCATTGCCCATAGACATTCGCAATTGCAGATGTGTTGCCTACCCTTATACAACGGATGAGGACACGCACATAAAGAGGATAATTACCCTTCCTATGCATCTCCTCCACCGTCAAATCCACTTCCCATTCTCAACCTCTCTTTATAAGAAAAAGATGGTAAAGGGAAAGGGACTTAAATTAAACCTCCGGCACCACACTCATCAGACGAAACACGGAATTGCTTCCATTTCACGCCTGTTTGAAAAGATGTTAAAGCGGGCAATACCACTGTTTGAAATAAGATTTGAAGGACTTTAACATCTGTAGAGTTATTTAATTTAAAATTGTACAGAGAAAAACGTATACATACCCACAAAAAACATTATCTTACTGCCAATTTAACTAATAAATTTAATTATTTTATCTAGCGTATTGTAAAACAGTTGTAACTTGACGTTTGAAGGTGAAACGTTAGCTTTATACGGGTTTCGTTTCGTTTCGCCAATTATTATAATTACGAGTAGTATATTATTGTGCTCTTAGTTGTAGAGATGTCTGATTTGCATGAATTTGACGCTTTAGAATGTTCTGGTGTATTTCATCAGTAATTTAACGTAAAAGTAGACTAATTATTAAAATTAATGGTTTTTATTTTTAATTTTCAGTTGTAATTATATAAGATACTAGCTGTCGCGACTTCCTCCGCGTGAAACTGAAAAATAATAAAAAAACAAACACAGATAGATTACCTTTCCAATGGTGAAAGAGTTTAGTAATTTTAACGTGTCATATACATTTATAACATAATATTAGTATAATTAAGGTAATTTTAACTATTAAGTTAGAATGTCCTTGTATATTTAATACGTTTTTTAATGTTTGAAACTGTCTTCATTTGAATTAATTTTAACCATAAATAAATACAACAAATAATTTTTAACTCAAAATTTTTAGTATTTTCAATTTGGATCTTTTGAAATAAATTCTAATTATTAATCTTTTATTGTTCCATTGTTTTTAAGTTCGAGAGTAGCCCCAGTGGTTGAGAAAATAAGAAGTAAAAGGTGGTATGGGCATGTTATGAGAAGGGATGAATCGCATGTGACAAGAAGGACGTTATAAATGTGGTACACCGGTAGAGGTAGACATAGAAAGCGATGGATGGATTGCGTGAAAGGTGACATGATCAAGAAGGGAATGATGACTGAGATGATGGATGATAGAGTTATTCGGAGGACGAAAACCCGGTGGGCTGACCCTACGGGAGAAGGATAAGGCAGGGAAGATGATGATGATTGTTCTATTGTTTTTGTATTATTTTTTAAACCCAATAGTTGTTTAAATGTGTTGTATCAAATCAAAACGTTATGTAGATTTCTAGTTAAATCGATTTTTAAGCGTGAAAAAAGTAACAAATTGTAACATAATCTATAACATGAATTTACGTATAAGTTGAATTATATAAGGGAATCGTAACTGACAATCTAACAGAAAGATCTTTCTCTTTTCCTTTGTATCAAGAATGTTTTCGAGAAAATTTCGAGAAATACACAATTGTATTACATTTGTGTAGAACGAAAAATACACCCACGAACTTCATACATTCTCGATGACGTTACGAGTTTCTCGCAACTGTCAATCAAATATTCTGATAGATTTCTATACTCCTAGCCCCACAAAGTAATATATGATTATCGCCATCTCTGATAGAAAAGTCTGACGGACTGACAATAACATTTGACAAATCAATACTTGTCACGTATTCATTCTTATGCGTTTTGACTCATTTTGTCGATTCTATTAGAGTCGAGCTGTCGCCCCTAAAATTCGTTAACGTG